AGAAAGTAGGAAATATTCGAAAAAATGGCTATATCCCATTTCAACATGAAAGTCAGAAGATTTAGACGTGACAATTGGTGGGAATACATATCAGGCCAAATGAAACAATATTTTGAAGAGAGGAATACCGTATAAATTCACCATCACCTCAACAGATCGGAGTTTCCAAGCGCATTAATCGCACGATTATGAAAAAGAGATGTATGTTGTTGAATTCCAATTTAAGTGAAATATTTTGAAACGAAACCGTTTTAACTCTGCGTCCGACATGTGGACTTTTGTAACATTTGTAGACACGTGGGGTGTGTGAGACCCCAATATGATTTTTCTACCCAACAACTGCTCTGAGAAACAAAGTTACAACTGAAATGTAATTTGAAAAAAAAAAGAAATTTAAAAAAGCTAAAAGTTTCATACCTACATATTCAAAAACAATTGGGTTCTGGAAAATCCGAGACAAGAATAAATTAATGTTTTATGATTATTGTTGTCCAAATAGGTACCAGGTGTCCTGAAGAGAGAAAAATTATTTTTTGAAAATGATGTAAGTTTCAACGCAAATAATTTCAATTTGAAAATTAACCTTTCTTCTTCAAAGAAATTTGCTCTAACAAAAATTATAAACATAGTGAGAGAAGTGACATTCATGAAAGTTGCAATGAACATGAAGATGATAATGAACTAGAAAACATGTTACATAGAAGATGTCTTCTAACAAAGATATCAAAACATATTGATGGCAGCGTTTGAGCAATGAATGCAGAATCATTTGTTTATGGTAGTCCAAAATGTTTCAAGGATATTCAATACAGAGATATTGTGGTATGAAGCCATGAAATAAATGAAATCTCTAGAAGATAATCATACTTGGACCCTTACTAAATTAGACCCAGAGAGAAAATCCATAGATAACAAGTTGGTCTTCAAAACCAAACATAATCAGAATGGAGATATTGAGAAATATAAAGCGAGTTTAGTATTCAAAGGTTGTTCCCAGGAACAAAATTTTGATTATACTGGAACAAGGGGTCCAGTAGCCTGATTAACCACAGTTATTATTATCAATAAAGACCTATTCACTATAATGGACATAAAAAATGTTCATGAAAATTTGAAAATATATCATACGTCCAAATGGTTTCATCGATAAAAAAGATGACCACCAAATTGATTGTAAATTCAATAAATTGATTTATGGACTTGAGCCGGCAACAAGAGAATGTAATGAACAATTTGATATTTTTGTAAGAAGTATTGGATTTCATCAATCAGAACATGATAAATGCATTTACGTTAGTAGTGAAGGTAAGTATTTTATGTTGATGGCATGATGTTCACAAGTAACAATGAATTTAAACTTACAGAAGTCAAAAAATTATGCAAGAATTCTCAACAAAAGATCTTGGAGAGCTGAAATATTTTCTTGGTAGTGGATTCCTTTCTCAACTAGGTGATGTAACAATCTGCTGAACTACTAGAAAGCAAAATATGAGTGCTTTATCCACAACAGATAATCAGTCGTGCATTAATCTTTTACAAATATAGGAGCATTGTTGACTGAAACTGTGTAATTCCAATATGATAGATATCAGATACATTGAAACAGGAAGTCATGGAAGTGGATCCATTCACGATCCACTTCCAGGACTTCCAGTACCTATTATAATTTCCAATTACAGTCTATCATGTCATATGGTATACCAGCCTATATGCTCACATATATGTAAGAACAGAACTAGTAACAGCAGAATTTTATTATGTAACAACAGAATCCCTACAATTTCCTTCAAATGGAGTATGCTAGGTGTTGCTAGGAGATGTTTTTGTTTACATGATTTGTTCAGAAAATATAGAAATGAATTAATAAAAAAATTCAGTCAAAAACGTCTTTAAAAGTAGTTTAAAAACTACATGTCTGATGGTGGATATGTGATGCACATGACCCATTTTACGCCAAAGTGTAACTTTAAAAAAAGAATAAAATACTCTGAAACTATCTTTTGAAACAAAAACTGTTCATAGTTTTGAAATTGTAGGGCATTGAACAAATTAAAGTCATTAGTTTTCTGTGATGTTACCAGTCTGAATTTTCGATTTTTAATCAATTTGCAATTGCGTGTATTATATGAATGAGTATCAGACTGCCTAGGTAGTTTCAAAAGAGTGGAATATACATACAATGAAGGAATATGAGTTCATAATGAGTAAAAGCTTCACGCCAAGAATCTCCAAATCCAATACCAGCAAGTATTCTCAATGCCTTTTCCTAAATAAGATAAATCGATTGTGATTCACTTGAATTGCCCCATAATAAGATGAAAAATGATATGTGAGACTGAAGCAAGGAAAAAAAATAGCATTCTTAAAGTAACAAAACTAACCAGGAGTTTCAGTTGCCTGAGTAAGAATGAGGTACTGAATAATTTACCTTTCAAATTCAAAATACAGCTAGTCTAATTTAACCTATTATCTATAAAAAATTCTAATAATTCAACACTTTGAAATACAAGTGTCTGAACGTGTTTGGAAACAATCATGTTATGAGATTAATCCGTATTCATCTGCAATTTGTTAAGTAAACCAATATTCTGCTTTATCTTGTATTATTCTTGTTTGATCTGTCAAAGATAAATATCTGTCACTTGAATTAAATAGGGACGTGACATCCACAAAAAAACACTATCGTCAGGTTTCATGAAATTGTTCAAGTCAATATAAATGTTGAATGAAAGAGGACCCAATACTGATCCCGGCAGGACACCATTTTATATCAGATAAGCAGTTATTATAATATATTCTTTGAAAACAATTGCGTAAATATTAATCCAAAAGATTCCAAAGCAATCCCTCTGACGCCATAAAAAGATAATTCATCAAGAATTCTATAGGAAACACTGTCAAAGGCCTCAGACAAGTATAATAATGTAACTCCTACAACATTTTCTGTTTCAAGACATTCAACTATGCTTTCAACAACATTCACTGCAGCTTCTGAGGTAGAACAATTTTCACGGAAGCCGAACTGATATTTACAAAAGAAATCTTTTTTTTCTTCAAACTACAAGTGGATTCACAGGTCTAAGTTGTTGGCCAAAATTGATGAAAAGTTACCAATCTCAGATCAGGTAGAGAACATTATATTTCGTTATAAAGCAACTTCTGTTGCTTATGTGAAATCACCAGCTGAAATGTATTTTGTTAGAAAATGATTTGAAATATTTGTAATAAATGATAATAGTTGTGGTTGATAACTGCAATGACTACGTTCAAATCAACAACAATAATTCACATGGATTGAACATTACATCAGTCTTTCTTAAATGTCATATTTTAACAATGCACTATGCAAGATCAAATCTGTGAAAATCAACAGAGTCAATAATGAATAATTAATAAATTTACGCACCAGACAAGATTATTCCTCCTTTGATTCATTCCATAGTATAATTTTTACCTTTCTAGGAACGACAACCCTCGGCAGTCGAAACTCGTGCAAACTAAAGGTTAACGAGGTCTTACCTTTCAACATGCAATTACTAGCATGGATTGATAAATCCAGGATTACTTTATATCGATGATATTTTCAGATTGGATCAATGACAGTTTAGTTTTCTAAGGTCAAAAAATAGCTGGAAAGTATTATTATCTGATACTTTCTTGATAATAGCTAGTCAAAATAATGGAAAATACTAACACAATTCTCTCAATTGTCCCTTTTTCACTATCATCATCATACTCTGCTAAGCAAAATTTGTCCATAGATCTCTCTATATCTCCTGAGACATCTGGAATGAATATATCATTTGGAATCAGTCTTGGAATTTCTCCCCAGTGCTTTGAAAAAGACATATTCAATTAATTAATTTTGAAGAGACTAGATAAACATCAGATTATAGCATTATAGACCAAAACAAACTCTCATATGACATATGACATGCTGACATTCATAATTCATATGACACCATCAGCTTTGCCAATCAAAAACTATGAAATTCCCCAATTTTCCAATCAAATTCCCTCAACAAAATTCCCTAAAATAATTCGGTAGCAGTCAAAAACTACTTGTAGCAGTTTGAATTGTTGATCATTGATTCGGGAGAGATGGTAACTCTAGCTTTATTTTTTTTTTGTAATCACATAGATGACGCTCTAACATATAAAAAAAATATGATGAAAGCAAGGTTTTACCTATATACGAACGCTGAGATGAAAGTAGGAATTTCACAAGTTGTGAAGAAAAAGATATTTATTCATTGTGAACAAAACTATATAACTGGATATCATTTTATTTCAATTTGAAGCCTCGAGGTTGAAGCTTGACTATCTTCTTTCCATATTGCTTCCATTCCTGCAACCTAATAATGTGAATTTAAAACTGAACTTTTTTTGAGCATGTGAACGAAACAGTGAGATATTATGTCCAATATCAAATTATATTTTTTCATTCACTGTACACTTTCTAAACCTTGATAAAATCAAGAGTTTTCTATAGAAGTTACTGGAATTTGGTTTCATGATATTGATATTTTGTACTGTAAACTTTATTCTACACGGTAATTGAATCAGATCTTCAGTGTTACTATTTAATTCAAATATTTTTCCCAAATGCCAGTGCCACTCGTGGATGTCATATGAACTTTCAGAAAAACCCGACTACAATCAATATAAAAAACAAAAAAATCGATTTTAGTCAGAAAGAATAATCAATAATAATACGATTATCATTTCAAAATTGTCTTCCGATCAACAATAACAATAAAACAATTCCTGGAAAGTAGAAAATAGATATCACATAAAGAGGATAACCTCATAAGACCGGTAGTTTCGTATATAAATAATCCAGTTAGAGAACTAAGAATACGTCTTAACAAGTTGTTCAAAAGTATTACCAATTTCGTCCCATCTCTTAGCTTTAAAAGTCACTTTAGTGGAAAACATAAGTAACCAAACCAATTCAACTTTGGTTTCATTCGATGTAAAGAGTATGTTCTCCAACATACCGTAAGCCCCTCATTTTAAATATATTAGATCATATAACATGGCGCAGTCGGTAGGGTACGATATGTTATATCGTACCCTAGCCAAAGTAGACCATATCACTTCTTTTGAAATTTCGACATCTTTCGATGTGTGCCTAAATCAGAGCTACTTACAGTTCAACAACAAATCTTATAAATAGGATTGAGGATTCAGGTTTACCAATGGGCTCACCCCTTAGTCCACTTTTAGCAGACAAGTTATATAGCTTGGAAAATTCCAGCTCAAAATCCAATATATTTTCTTATGGCGCTTCATTCTGGTGACTTCACGACCTCCGATCGGAACCTCGTGGAACACCCAATTCAAGGTAGGTATGACGTAGTCGTCCCCACTTCCCTACTTTTACCGTCTTCCAGTCGACCAATCAGAAGCTACCGAGCGTACAGCGGGAACTTCAAAGCAGTAGAAGAACAAAGCGACTTCTGGCTCATTTCAAGGTCGCGCGTCGTTGGTAATTATTTCACAGAGAGAGACTTTGGTGAGTGTAAGAGAGGAATGTGTGACAAAAAGCATCCCATATCACTTCCAAAAGAGCATTTAGTTACAACAAAAAAATATCGAATATAAATTACAGGCTATAGATTTCGAAATTACAACCACACTTTCAAATATTAGGTTCAAATACTGGCCTATACACGGAAAAGGTGCAGGAGGGATGTCATTTGTGAATGCATAGTTTGTTTGAGATCAAAACCCTCGTTTTCAACACCTATCATATCACGTGTAACATTCCGGAACCTAGATTAGTCTCGATTCGCCTTTTTTTCAGTTGAACGTGTTGATTATGCGGGCCCATTTTCATCAACGACAGCTTTTTACGTACAAGAAAATTGAATTTTCATTACTGACGTCTCAGTAGACATTCGTTTTTCATCATTCCGTTTACATTTATTTTTATATGATAAATTATATAAAGAGTTGCTTTGATACGTGAAAACTATACAGGGTTTTTCGCGATGAGCGTTAATTAGACGTTTATGGCAAACCAGACAACGAATCAACCTGAAAATTTCACAGTATGCATAAATTGATATGATCTACACACCGAAAATATTTTAGACGATGGGGTATTACCGCTTCTACTATAAAAACGGCTACTTTAATTTTTCAAACGGAACACCCTACATATAATGTCATAATATGATTTTTCATCACTTCATCAACAACTTCATGTACTATTTCATCATACCTATGTGTTACCGTTCAGAAGATATAAATTAATTTTGATTTTTTTTTCAAACATGTACTTTAATAAACGCTAATAATCTTGAACTCTCTGGTACTAAGACGATCAAATTCGAAATGTAGTGGAGTAATACCATAAGGACCTTCACTTCGAGTTATATTTTTATTTCCTTCATACGGTGTCTTTAAGAAATGCAGCTACTTTGATCACATGAAAAAATGATTGGAAGCCATTTTTTTCAAATGGAACACCCTGTATATTTTCACATCTTTGAGCTCTACATTCAATGTATATGTTATATGACTGAAAAATGTAATCATTATATTAAACGCAGTAAAATTTAAAAATTTTCAGTTACAAATGCACGTGACGCGAGACACGTTTTTCATTTATATTATATGTCAAATATCATGATGTCAGAAACATGTACAAACATTTTTACGTGAATATGGTCAGTTCGCAGTATCACGATAAATTGTTGCAATGCAATGTGTAATCAAAATGGGATCACTTACAGTGGACATTCCATCGCCTCCTGTAGTTATCCAAACACAAGCAAGTGGCACAAATACAACAATGTCGCCAATTTCATCAAATTTCATTGTGAGTGGAGATGCATATGAAAAAAGAGTATATGAGTATTGATGGTTCTCTGTAATATATTATTACTGCTCGTTTTATAACAATATTATTTCACCAAAATATGAGAGTCAGCTCTACATGATAATTAGTGAATCCAAAAGAAATGTTTCAGTGAGACAGTGAGATAATTATATATCGGTAAATGTATCCACACACAACTTTTACCAAGATTCGAATCAAATACAAACATTGAAAATTATAATCTGAATCGGCCAATGGATTGAAAATCTGATGTAGTTTGTAGTTCATACTACATCAAAAATACAAAAGTACATGAAATATACTGTGTATCATAGATATAAAATTACTATTGGCAGCTCATGATTTTATTTCTATGCTATGTATACTTTACATCTTCCAAGACATTTTGAGAGAACATGAATTGAAATAAAAACTTGATATTTCGTAGAAATTTCAATACAAAATGTCACGTTGACATTATCTTTCCTGGACTTTTAAACTGCCACTTTTCGAAATGATTTTCTCTGATAACTGGATACATAACCCTGACAAATGAGGCTACTAGAATGTAAAATAATATAATTATGAGAAGAACTAACCCACAAACTACTTACTTATAGTAGGTGGTTTGTGAACTAACCTCTAGCAGTTGTCAACTTTGTGAAAAAAATTATTGGATTTAGTAAATTTTTTTTTTATTAAATTCAATTTTACATATATTATAATTAATCAGTTCCTGCTTCTTTACATTGGGTTATAGGTTGAATTAGTGTTAGTCATGGAAACCATTTTGGAACAGCAACGAAGATATCATGAAGAAAAAGAACGTTTGATAGATGCTATGGTGAAAGAAATGCTGACTAAAAAAACAATGGTAGGTTTTCAACTGTAATAATACAATAGATAGTTTAATATTTCCAATTTTAGTACCGCGAAGCGATAAATTCAGACCATCGTCAAAAGTTTCTATTGGACAGATATATGACTGCTACAGACCGCTTAATTGAGCTTTATGAAGATAAAGATGGTCAGCGTAAAGCTGAAGTTGCATCTTTAACTGGCCCAAATGAATTTCAAGAATTTTACAATAGGCTCAAACAAATCAAAGACTTTTATAGAAGACATCCAAATGAAGTAAGTAAAAACTGAGTATATTTCAGAAAGACTGGTAAATATTAATTTTGATTTTCAATTGGAATAACTTACTTTTGTCTGCTAATTGCGAATCAAAACGTTAGCGTTACTGTCTACTATAGGAGATATGGCCACTACTTGAGTAAAAAATCTGCTACTCAAGGAACTCATTTTTGGTAATTAGAAACTGGTAAAATGTCACGTTTATTTCACAGTCGAATGCTGTAAGCACTTATTTACTTGCCACTTCCATTTTTTCCATATGAAACTACAACAAACTAGAAATTGTTATCTGGAACTATATGACACTTTTTGTAAGATACTGTTTCATTGATTCTGTTGGAGGTGTTACAAAATTAAACTATAGGTTCAAAATTATATGGCTATTGAAAAAAGCTAAGGAAGCTACTTTTTAAATTGTCGTCTAGATATAGATATTTCATGTTTGTTGTTAGTGTAATGTTTCATTCTAAAAAAGGTTGAGTTGACAAAAAAGTGTCTCTCACATTACTCACTAAGAAAGACAGCTTTATAAAATACTTTTGTCTTCTATGGCACAGCTAAATTGAAGTTTTCAAAATTTAGCAACATATTTTTTCATTTCTTGCCTATGACTTTCTGTGATAAGTAATAACAAAAGTTGTGGTGAAATGTTATCATTTAAAGCATGATTTTAGAAAGAGAGCAGTTTTTTTCCATGAAAACATTTGAAATGTATGTGATTGTGAAAAAAGGTGTCATTTTACAAGTTTTTGTTATCATTAGTGAATTACTGAATTAGTCTATTTTTTGCCTCTTGAGTAACTATATTTTTTTAAATAAAATGTAATGCCAAGTTTTGACTTCGGATTTATAATTAGGGGATAAAAATTTGTAATTTTGTTTTCAAAATCAGTGTCAGCTGTTGAAACAAACATTGACTGAATGATTGATTCATATTCTTTTGAACGAATAATTTCCAAACTCTGATTTTTCATACTTTCAGATAAGCGTGCCCATGTCTGTAGAGTTTGATGAATTTGCTAAGGCAAGGGAAAATCCAAACGATGATATGGCCAGTAAGTTATTTTGAAGCAGATTTATGTCTAAACATACTTTCATTAATGATGTATCTTGAGTTTCTCCAACCAAGTTATATTCTTCAGGAGATAAAGAAAACGCCAACTTGGTCGGTGAATTGCTTGCCGAAAAATGTATCGCATTTCTGGTGATAATGAAAAATGCTTGTTTTGGATAAACACAGTTCATAATACATAACCTTTGAGTACATATTTTAAATTGATAGGGTTTTCCATTGGCGCAATCAGTGGCATGCAAGTGCAAAGTTTATGTTCCATTGGTAGCACGTGTTACATGCCATATCAATAATGCATTGATAATTGCATGCCATGTATTTTTTGCACAAGTTGTGAAAAGATACTTGACTTCATATTCATATAATATCTGTTAGTGTCCGACCGAAACCGAGACTGCTTTTGGGACTTCCCGCGCTGTGATCGGTCATGTTCGGCGCATTGAATTTCATACAAGCGGCGAAGACATTTTGCCATGTCCACGTGCCTAATAATGTCATGACTCGAACTGCTAGTGATTCACTTTGTTTATTACATAAATATTAATTACCTATTGTGATATTAGGTAAAAACTTAAATAAGTACCTAATTTTATTTTATTGGAGTTTTTTCCCCAAATCGCTATTTTTTAACACCTCGACATGTGTTTCGATCACCAAGTGATCATCTTCAAGAGGGAGATTAAACTAGAAACTATCGCGAAGCTAACGCTATTTATGCTATATAGATATACCCTACAGGTGTACAACCCATACAGGTATACCACCCTAAATTAATTTTAAAATTTGCCTTCACTACCACCCATACAGGTATACCACCCTAAATTAATTTTACAATTTTGCCTTATCTATTATTTTACAATATATGTTTAAATGTTATAGCTGTATATAAAACAATTTTCAGCTATATAAAAATTAATTTCACAATTTCTCAATTTCAGTAACCATGAAGTTCTTGTGATGCACTTTTTGAAACCTTTGGTGTAGTAGTAATGAATATTACTGAAGTTTTTCCAACATCAAACCGTTATTTTAATACCTCGACATGTGTTTCGATCACCAAGTGATCATCTTCAAGAGGAAGATCAAACTAATGATACTTAGAAAGCTTTCCTTATATATACCATACAGGTATACCATACATAGATACAGGTATCTACCTGTTCTAGGTACCTGCGTCTTGAGTGTCTTAAATTAATTTTACAATTTGCCTTATCTACTTATCTTAAATTAATTTTACAATGGGTCCTTATGTGATAGTCAAGTGAATCTGAGAATTGAAATATTCTAAGCTATATAAAATTAATTTCACATATTGCCTTATATGCTAGTCCTAAATTAGTTTTACAATGTGTCCTTATGTAATAGTTAGGTGAATCTAATGAAAGTTAATTTCACAATGTTGCCCTATCTACTTGTCTTAAATTAATTTTACAATGTGTCCATATGTAATAGTCAGGTAAATCTAATAAATAAAATATTATTTCAACGAGCTAAATAGTATACTATTAGGCATTGGTCCACTATTGTTATTCATAATATTATTATGTTTACTTATTTCTACACTCGCATAGGGAATCTAGATGTCTGTTGTTGTTAACTTGTCTAACTAATCTTAATGAACCAAAGTCTATGGAATGGTTTGTTGCAAAATATGATGGGCGACTGCTGATTTTTCAGTTTTTCCATGATTCATATGAGAGTATAGAAATAAGGAAACGTAATAATATTATGAATAAAGATGGTGGATCAATACCTAATAGTATAGTCAAATAATTTTGAGAGATCACACAATATTGCATGTTCCGACATCCTCATTTTCTATGTCCTGAACAATATCTATTATTGTCCTAGTAGAAAATCTTAGATCCTTGAAACTATATTGATGGTCATATATTTTTCAGTACATATTCCACCATCTTTGATAATATTGGGGCGATTGTGATAATTATTTAATTATTACAATTATTTGGATGGTGTTTCAGTATGTAAAGAAGATGAATATTTTCCAAAGTATTCCAAGAGACAGTATTTTTGTGTTTCGGTTGTCTTTCTAAAATACTCCAAGGACCATGATAAAATAAACTTTTTTTGATACATCTTGATACAAAAAAATGTGGGGATCTTCCAAAGAAAGGAAGGAAGTAATCAATTGATTACTTCCTAAAAATATAACCCTTTCAATATAAAAATAAACTCCTTTTTGAAAAACNGTCTCCATACCTGAAATTCTTGAAAAGTGAATTGAAAATAGGTAGCGTTGTTTTGACAGACGTCAAATAAAACTTCCTATGTTTTTTACCACTTGTATTTGTAACTAATGTTACTGCAGTTTCGTCCTATAAGGACATTTTCAATAATTTATTGTTTTTGTTTGAAAATGCAGTAACGTTAATTATAAATACAAGTGGTGAAAAAACAAAGGAAGTTTTATTTCTAATTTTTCATGATGATCTACCATGTAGTAACGGCTACATTCCTCAATTTACAGACTATAATTTATAAGAGAAAATAATATTAACGTTTTTTCAGATTTTGTGGAATTCACAGATGAAGAGGGATACGGAAAGTATTTGGATCTGCACGAGTGTTATGAAAAATACATAAATCTAAAAGGAATTGAGGTTGAATTATTATTAGTTTAGTTGCTATAGGTGTTTTGATTTTTCTTTCATTTTCAGAAAGTAGATTACATCACGTACCTTGGAATGTTTGATCAACTTTATGACATTCCCAAAGAAAGAAAAAGTGGTGAATACCGAAAATATTTATTATGTCTTATAGAGTATTTGATGTGGTTTGTCCAAAGGATCAAGCCATTAATGGATTTAGAAAGTGGTTTACAGGAAGAAGTTGATAGAGTTATTGCTACATGGGAAAGTGGCACAGTACCTGGATGGCCTGTGAGTAATAATTTGCTGATTTTTTTTAACAGGCGCTATACCTGATTTTTTATCTGCTTGGCATCATGTTGATAGGTACAAAATTCTAAACCATGAAGCCACCCAAACATTCTGAGAATAGCTTAATGAATTTGTTTACTATTCAACAAAGAGTATGATATGAATAACAAAACACTATAATGAAGATCAATTCTAAAATATCTTGTTTTGTCATTGAAATTAAATGGTTCAAGTGAATGTACCTTCATCTAAAAAAAAAATATCACATTAACAGCAGAGAAAGTAAAAAAAACATTGTTTTCTTTGCCACATAAATGTTTCATAATGCCATCTCCCTTATATGAGTTTTCCATACTGAATGATAATAAAGAAAAAATGTAAAGTAGTGGAATTTGAAATAGCAAAATTAAAACTGCCTATTTCACTTAGGAAAATTTACACATTTGTCAATTCTCTTCAAACATTTTTCAGAAAGAAACGGGTTCTGCTTTAGCCAATGTTGGTGCACATTTGGATCTTTCTGCATTTTCCAGCTGGGAAGAATTGGCTTCTTTAGGTCTGGATCGTCTTAAATCTGCTCTTATGGCATTAGGGCTGAAATGCGGAGGGTAGGTGTCAAGTAATTGAAAAAGATGAATTATTATTATTATTGAATATTCCTTAGGACTTTGGAAGAACGAGCTCAAAGATTGTTTTCAACCAAAGGAAAAGGTTCTTTGGATCCTTCTCTTATGACTAAAACCAATAAAGGAAAAGCTAGCAAAGAAAAGGAACAACTTCGTCAAAGGTATTCTTTTAGCATGAGACCTTTTCAAGCAATTTTTAGTGGAGCTCACAATTCTGCAATGTTATTTTTCAGTGCAAAAAGTAGAAATATATTCATTCACTTTCTGTTTAATGCATACATGAAGTGTTATTATACAAATATCAGGTGTTTTTTACATGGTCATGTATAATGTAACCTAATAACTCCAACTGAGTGAACAAGCTTCAAAAAAAACTTTTCCGGTGTGTGGGAAAATAATTTTTATTAATTGACTTATTCCTATTACATTTCAGATTGGCAGAATTAGTTGCTGTTCAGAGAACAGCAACAAAAGAGAATGTACAAAGAAAACAAGCACGCACAGATGGTGAACGTGATGATAGCGAAAATGAAGAAAGTGATGATGACAGTCCTGATGAGGGTGACGACGATGTTCCATATAACCCTAAAAATCTTCCTCTCGGATGGGATGGAAAGGTATGTTCAAAGTGATTTTCCTTAGATGTTTGAGATCTGTCATCGTAATGACTTCTAGTTCTGGATAATTTTTGTTCATTGTTGAATGTTTTTCAGACATTTAGGGAATTATTAAATAAGTTATTCAGCAGAATCCTCAAGGGGTTTTCAGCCTATTTATTTTGTACTATGATATTGATATTTTAACAATTTTCCTTTTGACATATTTCTCAGACAAAAATATTCTTCCACTCCTGTGAATGATTATAAAATACTCTTGAAATAAATGTATCTATCTCTCTATCTATGAGATAAAACTAAAACACTAACTCATGTTTACTTTGTAGCCTATTCCATATTGGCTGTATAAGCTTCATGGTTTGAATATAAGTTACAATTGCGAAATATGCGGAAACTATGTTTATAAAGGACCAAAAGCTTTCCAGAGACATTTCGCTGAGTGGAGACACGCCCATGGAATGAGATGTTTAGGAATTCCAAATACTGCACATTTTGCGAATGTTACACAGATTGAAGATGCTTTAGCCTGTAAGTAGTGAGATTTTATACCCACTTCCATATTTGAACTGTTCAGTTTATACACTAACTAATCGATAATTGAAAAACTATAAATTTCAATTTTCACTGATATTTGCAACCAAAAGTGAACTTATACAAAGACTTATTCAACACGTCATGATAAGACATGAAAATTAAATTCATTATCAAATTTGTCTAATCACATCAATACAGTGATCGTTTGGTAACTAGTTGCTTAAAGACTTCCACTCGTGAAATAAGTGTTGAACACAAGTTCGATACCAGCTCACTTCCAAATATTTAAAAATCTTCTGTTCAAGACTTGGACAAGATAGTTAATGCTGCTGTAAGCAACTGTGTTATATGGGTTGCTCAGATGCCAAATATTGTATTCATTCCATATTGACTGATCCCCTGCTAGGAATCACACTTCAAAAGATCTCATTAATTCTTGCCTCACACAAGTAGTGAGTTTCGAGGGTTGCCATGCTTAAAAAAGGGATATTTGAATTACGAAAAAATACTTTCTAAAACTCACATTAGGTCATTTAACAGGTTCTTAACCTTAACAAAAAAAAAGAATATAGGTCTATATAGAATACGAACTGAAGGAATTTTCAAGTCATTTTATTGTAGGTATTTTCATGTTCTTCACACAATAATTATAATAATAATATTAATTAGGTCACAGTAATACAATATATACATATGGTAAATCAACCAAGACATAGGTACTCAGTATATTAAGTACATATTTAATATACAGGGCTTTTTATGATGAGTGTTAATTAGCCGTTTCTAGCAAACTATTCAACGGATCAACCTGAAAATTCCACAGTATGCATAAGTCAATATGACCTACACGCCTAAAATATTTTAGACGAAGCGGCGTTGTCGCTTCTACTATAAAGTAGCGGCTTCTTTGATTTTTCAAATGGAACACCCCGTATATAATATCATATTATGATTCATTATCACTTTGTCAACAAATTCATATACTATTTCC